ACGGGCCCAAAAAGAGGACCAGGCTGAGCATGAGGAACCACACGTCTTAGTTCTGTCCTGTTAGGGTTGGATGATGCAAGAGAAGATAAGTTCAAAGGGCACCTGAGCTACCTACCCATGATGAATTGGGATCCCTTTCAGCTGATCAGGGAAATGAAAGGAGAGGAGCAGTAGGTCTGGTCCAACGATTAACGCCTCTCCTTCCCATCCTTAAAGCCGATAGCAGCCCACACTCTTGTGAAGCACTGCCCTCTTGTGGCCATTACTGACATAGCTACCAGGCTCACTAGACCAATAAACCAGGGCACCTAGTGGACAGTCGTTTACCAAAACCTCTTGGCAGGGTTGTTATACTCAAGACAGAAAACAATAATCCATCTATGTGGATTTGAGGCTGGTTGGGGCAGTGTGATATGGTGGAAGGGACAAAGGAGTAAGAACACCTGGGTCTTAATCCTGACTTTCACTTATTAGCCATTGTGAATTTAGTTTTGGGAGCAAGTCACTTAACTTGTTTGCCTCAGTTTCCCCATCTGTAAAATGAGCTGGAGAAGGAAACAGCAAATTACTCTAGTATCTTTGCCAAGAAAACTCCAAAATGGGGTCACAAAGAGACAACTAAATCACAGACACAACCACATGATTAAATAACCACAACAAATACAATAGTAATAACCTCTATTTGTAAATTGCTCTAAGGTTTGCAAAATGCTGAACCTATGTTATTTCATTTGATCCTCACAACAGCCTTATGAGGTAAGTAATCCCCATAGTATAATTCCCTCCCTATAGTAATGAAACCACAGGTTTGGACCAAAACCAAAAGTATCCACAATACAGAGAGATGGGCTGGAAAAAATGGGATGAAATTTAACAGGGATATATATATATATATATATATATATATATATATATATATATTATATATATATATATATATATATATATATATATATGCACACACACACACACACACACTCACATGCACCTGTATACACACATGTATGTATGTATATGTATATATGTACATACATGTATATGTGTATGTGTATGTATGTGTATGTATTATGTATTATATATACACATATATTACATATATACATATATACATATATGCATATGTGTGTGTAGTTCTGCCTCTTAGTCAAGAAAGAACTACAACTTCCTCAGAAATGCAGAATAAAGGAGACCTGACTTAACAGCTATTAATGTGAAAAGGAAAAAACCTTTGGGGCTCTTCCCCTATCAGAATATAAGCTCTTTAAAGTCTGGGACTATCCTCTTTGTAATCTTTTTTATCTCCTCAGAACTTAGTACAGCAGCCTGGCCAACGTATTCGGATTTCTTTGCTTATTTGTTACAAGGGAGGGTTTTTATATTTGAGTGGGGGTGGGGGTGAGGAAGAAGGTTGGAACAAAATAGGGAGAGAACAGGAGAAGCAGTGATGAGGATAAAAGAGAATTAATGTGTACCAAAAATACACGGGATCCATGGCATGAAAAGAGATTTAAAAACTTGGCATGGAGGGATTTTTTTTTAATATAACAAAAAGAAGCTATCTAAAAGACAAAACAAAAAATGGAGATATACTAGAAGAGGAAGCCCTTTACTCTGTTGCTCTTTGATGTAGGTCTACAAATGCTCTCAATGGCAATATGACAAGATGTAGTTAAGAGCACAGAAATAGGAAAAGAGCACACAGAGCCATCCCTGTTGGATGATGACGTGATGTTTTACTTGGAAAAATCATTGGGAATCAGCAAAGAAACTAATCAACAACAGTTTCAGTAAAGTTGTAGGTTATAGACTAGGTCCACAAAAATCCATAACATTTCTATATAGTGATAACAAAACCTAAGCAGCCATAAGAAAAAGGGAAGTCCCATTCAAAATAATTACACAATGCATAAAATATCTGGGAATCAATCTACCAAAGAATATCCAACACCTGTATGGATACAATTACAAAATATTTTTTAAAGAAATAAAGAAGAGGTTAAGTAACAACTTAAATAACTGGAGTACTCAAGGCTGGGCCATGTCAACACAATAAAAATGATGCTACTATCAAAGTTACAGATTTAATGTTACACTAGCCAAATTACCAGTAGGATAGACAAAAATAATAATTATTATAGTAAGAATATAGATTTGGAGGAACAAAATATCAAGAATATCAAGATAAATAATGAAAAATGATAGAAATGAAGAGAAATACCACTTCTACACCACAAATCATATTACAAAGTGGTAATCACCTCAACTATTTGATAATGGATTAAAAAGGAGAAAAGTAGGTCAATGGAATAGACTAGATGAGAAAAAAAAATTTTGTTGAATTTAGTAACCCAGTGTTAGATAAATCCAAAAACATAAACTAACTAGAAAAGAACTCCCTATTTGACAATAATTACTGGGAAAACTGGAAAATAGTCTGGCAGATATTAGGCATCTTTATGCCATATCTGATAATTTCAAAATGGATATATGACTTGAATATTAAAGATCATACCATTTAAAAATAAGAGGCAGATCACACACCTTTCAAATCTATGAAGAGAGGTGAATTCTTATCCAAACAAGGGGTCGAGATGATTACAAAAGATTAAATAACTTCAATGACATTAAATTAAAAAGCTTTTCCATGAATAAAATTAATGCAGCTACAATAAGAAGGGAAGCAATCGGCTAGAGAAAAAGTCTTTGTATCACATATCTCTGATAAATATCTAATATCTAAGATATATAGACATCTAACAGAAATATATGTGATCCCAAAGCCATTCTCTCCTAGGTAAATGGTCAAAGGTTATAACAAAAAATTGATAAAGAAATTACAAACTATTGACAACCACATGAAAGAATTCAACAAATTATGAATAATAAGAGAAATGCAAATCCAAGCAACTCTGAAATTCTATCTCACACTTAACAAAATGGCAAAGTTGTCGTAAGATGTGAATCATCATTATGAAATAGGTTTTGGAAAGGATATGACATGAATTGGAACAACCATTACTGAAAACAATTTGGAATCATGCCAAGAGACTGCCTACTATGTCCATACCCTTTGATCCAGAGATTCCACTGCCAGGCATTTTATCCCATGGAGGTTAATAACAAAAAGAAAGGTCTTACATACATCAAAATTGCAGCACTTTTTGTGGTGTTAAAGAACCCAATGCAAAGTACGTGCCCATCGAATGAGAAATGGTTAATCAAATGGTGGTACATGGATGTAATTGAATATTACTGAGCTGTAAGAAACAATGAATGTGGTAAATACAGAGAAGCATGGAATGACACACGAACAAATGCAAAGTAAAGGACAAAGCACCAGGAAAACAATATAAATGCTGACTACAGCAATGTAAATGGGGGGGGGGGAGAATTATAATTGAATGCTACAAAACTATAATGACAAAACTAGGCACCAAAGAAACTAGGCACCTTCCCCTACCTCAATTCTTTGTAGAGGTAGGGGACCATGTGAAACATTGTGAATATGGAACATTGCACATAAAGTCAGTTTTTAAAATAATGTTGATGAGTTTTGCTGACTTTTTTCTTTCTCTTTTTATTCTTTATTATGATGGCTATTAAAATATATAATTATTAAATGGCTATCTGGTAGAGACTGGAAAAGATACAGTGGGGAAAAAGATACAGGTGATATAAAACAAAAGACATTAATATAAATTAATTTTTAATTTAATATTTTAACAATAATTTGATATTAATAATAATATAAATTTAATTTTTAATAATTTTAAATGTGACTGGTATCACGGACTAGGTAAATACTTCATAGTGATGCTGAAACTATACCCGTTGTGAGAGATGATCTCTCAGAAGTGAAGCCTCCTCAAAGAGTCAATAGTTCTGGTTAATAGTTCTTGATTGTTGCTTTCAAAACCCTCTCCAGTTCAGACCCTGTTTTTAAGTACTTAGCAGAAAGAATAGCCCTACCCCCAACCTGAACTGCTTACTCTTGCAAAAACTTCCCGCCTGTTCTTGTCTCCAGGCAAGTTTGTGAACAGAGAACTTTGCTCTCTGTTGCTGGGGTAGTTTGCCAAGAATAAGATTGTACTCTCACAGCTTGCATCAATGAGCCCTGAGGAAGGGGGCTAGGGAGGAGGGGATTGAGGTTAGGATCTATATAATCTGCTGGGCTGAACACACCCCTGCTCTCTTTGGTCAGCGCCATCTTTTGGATGCTCTGAGGGAGCCCTTTCTCAAGAAAGCCAATTAACAAACTATTCTTTTTGCTAATATCTCTGAGTCTCCAATTTATTGGTAAGGGTCTTCGTATCCCACACCCCATTTACACCTGACCCTTCTGTGGTCTACAGAGAAGCAGGCCGTCATGTAATCAATTAGTTAACCAGTTAGAATATTATTTTGGCCACCATGTGGCACTACTCTTGTGCTACTATCCCAGTGGCCACATCAGAGTATAGTCATTGTGCTCATGTAGGCTTTTTCAACACCTTTAATATTTCCTACTGCTCATCAGTGGGTTCTCCAACTACATACAAGTAGATTACTCTCCTCTCCAAACAGCCTGAGATTTTCAGGAGCTTGTGGCCAGCACAGCTGGTCCCAGGTTCTAAATAGATCCAGGAGTATGGTCTGAGACAAGCTTAAAAATTGCCCAAGATAGGAAGCTGAGTCTCCTTCCTTGTATTTAAATGGTCCCTTTTTCATTCATGAACTTCATTCATGGGACTTAGATAATATGTTTCTTAATGGAAATCCCAGACAGTAACTGCAAACAAGCTGTAGATTTGTTTGAGTCTTCTGCCCTCCATACTATGTCCAGCCAATAGGGAACAGAATCAAAGAAGAGATTGCTGTTTCTAAACTTGCAAGATTGGTTTGGTAAACACTGGGAGAAACAGGGAAGTGCAAGAGGTTGGCAATACCTCCCAGGTATCTCACCAGGTTGGGAGCTTCACAATAGTTCTAATCTTGCCTCTCTCCTTTGATTGGGTCCTCACCTTGGCCAGTACTGTCCTTGCCTTGGAATTTCAGCTGCAGGGCTCCCATTCTTTCAAAATCTTTAAAAACAAACCAGTGTTATTTAAACTCTCTGATCCCAGGTGCATCAAAGGAACTCACCTGGAATGGAGGACTGGGGCATTCTTCTCCAGGAAACTGAATAAACACTAAGTAAAAGTATGAAATAAAAGTCCTGGGGCAGGGCCATCAGTGTTCATGAAACTGCTGATCCCAGTCTTGAACTCACTCCTGGTAATCCCCCTCTACGATAAAATAAGATGAAAGTTATGCTTTTCATTTCACCATTTTTACACAGAACAGACTAGATAAGAGGCTGGTTGGAGACAAAACTGTGGGTCTCTCCCAGATCTTTCTATTGTAAAATCCAGCTGCTTATTTCAAAGTATTCTTCAAATTGTGGGGTTTTCCCCAAACCAAGGGTCACACTGAAGTTTGAGTGATATGGATGAGATGGACGCCAAACAGAATCTGGGCTCCTAAAAAAATAACTCTGCCTCCTCACCTGGAATGTGTACTCTCTGTTATTATCCATTCTTTTTGTACTGACTTTTCTTCATTCTCATCATCATCTCTCCTTTGTCTATCTTGGAATTTCATCTTTTAATCCTGTTAGATTTATCCTAAAACCCTCCAAACCAGGATTGGAGCAAGGTAGTTTCTTTTTTTTTTTTTGAAGAGGGAGAGTTAGGTCTTGCCCAGGCTAGAAGGACTGCAGCCACTTATGGGTCTGATCCCAATACTGATAGACGTAGAAGCTTTATCTTGTTCCATTTTTTTGATCTGGGACAGCTCTAAGACACTGAGATGGTAGTCCATGAGCAGTGCCACATGGTGGCCAAAATAATATTATTTTCTCTAACTGGTTAACTAAATGATTGATTACATGACAGCTTGCTTCTCTGTAGACCACAGAAGGCAGGCAAATGGGTCAGGTGTAGATGGGTATAGTTTTAGCATCACTATGAAGTATTTACCTAGTCCAGACATCAGTTTATATTAATGTCTTTTATTTTATATCATCTGTATCTTTTCCCCCACTGTATCTTTTCCAGTCTCTACCAGATAGCCACTTAATATTTATATTTTTAAAAGCCATTATAATAAAGAACGAAAAAGAGAAAGAAAAAAAATCAGCAAAACTCATCAACATTATATTAAAAAAAAGGCAGTTCTAAGGCTTATAGGCCCCTGTTCCTGGAGGCCCATGTTGGGGAGATATTTTGTGGGGATACTGAGTTGGTTTTAGCCCTACTACAGCTTAGAACTCACCAACTCAATGAATCCACCAGCCTCAGCCTCCCCAGGGACTGCAGGTGTGCTCTACAATGCCCATTCTTGTATAGTGGATTGTAAAAATCAATGATCTGAGAGTAAGTTCTAAATTCTTTTTTTTTTTGAAGCAATTGGGGTTAAGTGACTTGCCCAGGGTCAGACAGCTAGTAAATATCTGAGGCTGTATTTGAACTCCAGGGCTGGTACTAGTTCTATCCACTCTGATGTCTAGGTGCCTCAGGTTCTGGGTTATAGTACAGCTTCTGTACCATATACAATCTGTGATTATGCCCAAATCACTTCCCATCTTTGGACTTCAGTTACTTTATCTGTAGAAGATCCCTGAGGTCACTTCTTACCTCAGCAGTCAATGTGACTATGAGATGTGAGTCCCCAGGGGAAAATGCATAGGGTGGAGGTTCTTAACCTTTTCTGTGTGTTATGTGTCCCTTTGGCGGGCTGGTGAAGCCTATGGAGTCCTTTTCCTAACAATGTTTTTAAATACATAAAATAAAATATATAAGATTACAAAGGAAACAAAAGATTGGTGAAAATAAAGGTTTAATTTTTTTCCCATCTAAGTTCACAGACTCTTGCAAATCTATCCATGGCCCCAATGTTAAGAACTCTTGACTTGGAGCTGTTTAAGAGAATATCCTGAAAGAAAACTTAAAAAGGTCGTGGAATTTTGGAATTGGGAGAGACCTGAGTAGACATCTAGGCCCCTGGGTTGGGATTTTGAAGCAGAAGAGTGATGGTGGGTCTATAGAAGAAAGGCAAAAGCAGAGGATTGGAGAGCAAGACTGTACTGGAGCAGAGTACAGGAATGGGCAAGAGGAACAGAATGGAGAGGAGCTGGGAAGGGAAGGGAGCATGCGGATCATTTACGGCTCTCTCCAGCAGGGGGCAGTGCTACTTCGCGGTTCTGTACTTACCCTCATCTCAAGACTCTCAACTTCCCCCTTTCCTGGGTTTCCCGCTCCCCTCTACTCCCCAATCCCTGTGGAATTTGGGAATGGGGAGGGGATATTGAGTGAGACTTAAGAGTTAGTTCTTTAGTAGGAGGCTTGAGATGGAAGCTGAGGGTTGGTGAGGGGGAGCATGATTAAGGGTACAGAGAAGTTTGCTGTGGAGGAGTGGCTTTAATGATGCATGTGGGGATGGTGATGGCAGCAAGTGTCTATTTATTGCGTGCCGGGGGGGGGGTGTAGCACAAAAGTAGGGAGCACGATACTGTAGGTGGCTATGTATGAGAATATGAGAATGTCCCATGTGGGTGTGAGTGAAGTAGGGGAGGATGGGAGGGTGTCCCTGGAGTGTGGCAGGGTGGAGGGGGTGAGGGGAGGATTAACCTTTCTATGAGAACGGAAGGAGGAAGAGGTCCCTTAACTTTTCTAACTTCATAACATCTCTCCACATATTGCTCACCCAGCCACGACCCTACTTCAAGTCCTTATTCCCTCTCAATGGGACTATTGCAATAGCTTCCTAACTAAACTCTCCCCTCTCTGACCCAACCTTTGGACAGCAGCAAAGATGATTTTTCCCCCTCAAACTGTAGGTCTGCCCATGTCACTGCCCTGCTCCGTGAACTTCCCTTTACCTCCAGGTCAAATATAAAGTCTTTGCTTTGGCATTTAAAGCTTTCCTAACTTGGCCCCTTTCCAATTGGCTTTTCCAATTTTCTTATACTACTCCCCTCCACAAACTCTATAATCCAGATACACTGTCCTTGTTGTTTTAATTCTTTGTACTGGCTGCCACCGATGGCTGGAATGCTCTGACCCTTCACCTCCACTTCTAAGTTTCTCTGGCTTCCTTTCTCTGGACTCAGTTCAAATTCTCCCCTCCTGGTCCCCACTTCCCCTTCCAGAATCTACCCATCTCAGATTACCTTCCATCCACCCTATAATAGATTTTCTGTATATCTAGCTCTTCATGTGTTATCTCCACCATTTATTAGAATGTGAGCTCTTTGAGGGCAGAGATTGGGTTTTTGCCTTTCTTTGTATTCCCCAGTTCTTAGTACAGTGTAAAGGCTAATAAATGTTTAAGGACTTGTCCACTCTTAACCCTATCCCCTAAACAAACCCCTAGGGTTTAGGTTATACTAAGCCCACCTAATCCTGACAAAGCAGGATCAGCAACATATTTCATCTCTGTGGAAGTCTGAGGGACCTTGAGGGTTGCCCAAGGGAAACTGACATTGAAAGTGGGGAATGACCCGAGGAGGGCTTGTTGAATAGATGAAATCACATAACATGGGAGCCTGATTTTGGATGTGGATGTACAAGTTGACCCTTCCTCCGGGCAATGCCAGTGACTGGCCAGACAGAAAACCTATCTGGCCCAAGAGTCTTCCCTTTTGTAGTGCCAGAAATCTATGCCATTCCCTTTCCTTCCATGCAGCCAGGAGCAGAGAAGCAGAGACTTAGAAACGGAGTGGGGGAAAGCTCTCAGTTTCCTGCTGCTAACATTGCACATCTATGTGGGCCAGATCTTGGAGTGCAACACTATACAAGAGATCATGTGTGGCCATGGTGTGGATTGCCTGTGGAATATACAAGAGAGCTTATCAGCATGGAGCAGGTCTCCCAGAGAATAGGGATGGGGAAAGAGCCTCACAAAGATTTCCATAATTTTGATATTTTGGAGTGATATTCCATTCTATTTTTCCAGACCCCTATGTCAAAACTGAATCAAGATCAATGTGCTCACGTGCCAAGAGCCATGGGAGTCCTGGATAGTTGGAGTGGGGAATAGATTAAGAGGTTAAGAATAGTCGGTGTCTCTACGGTGAGCAGTAGGGACACCTCAAGGAAAGCTAGCGGATGGATGGTCTCCGGTTACTTTGAGGAGAAATCCTCGGTTGATGATCAAGGCTGGCACATCCAGTTGACCAGCTTAAGGCTTACCCTTCGCTGATTCCATCCCAGATTGAAGCCATAATAGAATCTTCTTACAGTGTTAAGGGTTCAGGTCCTAACACAGAGGCAGTTGCTAATTTCCCAAATCAGCACGTTTTCCTGATGTGTCAGGCTGCAACGTAGTTGGAGGGGATAATTTCTCCAAGCTAAGAGGAGAGGATCTATTGGAGAAAGAATTAAGCCAAGAGCAAACAGGCGCAAGGAGAAAAAATACTTAGGAACGTAGACCCACTTTCTGCTCCAAAAACCACCTTCCAGCACTCCCTCGCTGGTTTTAATTGATTACTTAATTGACAACCTGCTTTTATTTTTACATAAAGTAAGAAACAAGCTTGGTATGGGCTGCTATTCAGGCACGTCCAGTGTCACCCAGAACTCTCACCAAAAGCACAGGCAGCTTGCCATAGCATTTATAATGTTTTTCTGGGTGAGTTTGAATTTTCCTTAGGATTATGTTTCCCAACTCCTTTTTATTTTTGTCTAGGCCTGAAATTTCATTGCTATAAGTAACTCTTGGGGAGGAAGCTCTTGCAATACAGATTCAACAAATTATTCTCCTAGCCTTGGACAGTTGGCTTGGATACTGAGAGGTTACACAGCCAGCATGTGTCAGAAACTGGACTGAACCCAGATATGAACCCCACGATCACATATGAGAATGTCTTTGTGGGTGTGAAGATCGTGTGGGCAAGAGAATTAGAAGGTAGCGCTGAGATGGGTCTGTCTGACAGAGAAGAAGGAATAGGGTCACTAATGCTATGATGCCCCTCTTCTGTTTATTTTTTTTTATGCATTCCTATTAAACATAGTTTCACATTAGTGACGTTG